AATTACACTAACCAGAGTACAACAACAAGGGCTTGCTGTTGGAATTACACTATTCGGGTTGTGAGGTTTGGTACCCATCCATAAGATAATAAAAACAAGTTTACCCTAATATAACTACATAACAACGTCCTGTGAAATTTGGTGTCATTTCTCCAACAATACCGCGCTGATATAAACGTATTCTGTTGGAGGTTGAAATGCTGAGCTCGTGCCTCCCCACGTTATGTATCATGTCAGGCACACGACCACACCCCACACACGTCTTTCATTGATAAATTTTAGCCGCTGATTGGAAACAGACATCGTGCAGTACACAACAAGCACAAACGTGCGTGACAGGATCATCAGGAGAGCACCCATGTCATCAGTCAACAAAAGTTAAACTGTTAGAGTTTAGACAGACAGATAGAGGGATGGTTGGAAAGATGGATTATTTTATATCATGGCGTTCAAATATTGCAAATAAATATAAATAAAACACTCGAATAATTTGAGCTACATTGATGAATAAATAACACGTGTTTACCGCGACATTCATGCCACTTTGACGTCTAACGTAATGATTCATTATTCATTAACTAATTAGCCTTGTGACGACATAAGGTCGTCTTTATTTTTAAAGGCAAATTTACTCGTGCATTAATTAAGAAGAGATAATAAAAAAAAATCCCCTGGTGTTGAAATTTTAAAACATAAAAGTTTTATACTTCCTTCCCTTGGAAGAACGCGCTTCACGCTCTGAAACACGTGCTGCCCAGGGAGGAAACAGACTGCATAACAAAAAACACGTGATCTTGAGAGGACTTTCAAAGACCCAAGCTTAAGTATTTGTTTTGTCAAGCATTGCTGCTGGTTTTCTTATCTTTAGAGCTGTGGGGTGTTCTGTATCTTCCCGTCACAGTAAACATCTCTCTCTCCAGTCAAAGTTCCTTAGTATTCATTCGTACAGTTGTATTAGATACGCGAATAATTTGAAGATATAACTTATACCGTATCTTTTAAACCTTCCTTGTTGCTTACGTCATTATTTTTTTCCCCATTTCCTAAACAATAATATAATCACATCCACGTAATCTAGTTAGTTATTGTTTTAACATTTGTTTTTTTTTCATTTTTAAAAGTTTCCTTATACTTTAGTTGCCAGTCTCTTATTATAGCTCATTTCTCCGAAAGAGGGCCGAAGACCGCCTGGAGGGGGTCGCATATTTTAACCACTCGCATCACTATACAGTAGTGTGTTGTCTGTCAGTCAGTCAGTAGACACTAAAATGACGTCACGTTGAAATCTGTATTGTCGTGACGTCAGTAAAACGTGCGCATGCCATGAATCACGGGAAGAATTATGCACTTCGTAGGCTACAACAAAGCATGACATGTGAACTTTAAGAGGAAGAAAAAATATATTTGTTACCATTAATTTGGGTTATATTTACGCGTGAAACAGGACACTTTCGGGGACCCTAGTTCACTATTGTTACCTTTCATATATCTCCTAAGTTATTACTTTCTTGTCTAACCGGTTTTTCGTGGTTCTTGTCACATAGTTTTTTTATTTTTCAATCCTCATCCCTCTTTTATCTATCTTCACTTTTTTAATTGAGCGTCCTCTACCGGCAGTATAATCAAGCTCTATCTCATCGCTTCCTTATCCCACGTAGCACCACTTTATACATTGAATATGAATATATGATAACGAACATGGCCCTTATAACGACGAATAAATACGAAAGACCCCTGACGTTGGACAGTATCATTGGGGATGGTGACACTGTCCAACTT